TTTTAACTATATTATAAATTAATTATTATATTATTATAACTATATTATATTATAATATTTTTATTGTATATTATATTATATTACATATTATTATTATATTACATATTATAATATATAACTATTATATAATATATTTTAATTACATTATAACATTGAAGGGTAATTATAGAAAAAATAAAGAAAATAATTTAGAATGATTATTCTTCTCATATAAGGAAAGAATGATGATTCATTTAAAATGGGTGAATGACCATTTTTTTAAATGACTATCTTTTCTTATAAATTCAACCAAACATCAAACTTGAATTTCATTTCATTCTATTTATTTCTTTTTCACCCAACCAAACACAGCTTATTGTTTATTGCATTAGGTATTGATCCTTTCCCTAATATGTTTATATGGAAAAAAAAAATTAAAATTAAAAATTTTTAGATGATTTGAAATCTCTTACTCAAACTATTCTTTCCCCTTTTTTTTTCTCTCGTATCACACAACTAAAAATTTTAAAAGTTCTTACATTAATTCTCACATCCCTTTACTTAATATATATATATATATATATCGCCCCTCTTCTCTTTATTATTCCCTCATATCAAATAAGCTCTTAACCTTTATTTATTTCTCTGATCTCTAGTTAGCGTTATTTATTTCTCTGATCGCTAGTGAGTGCTGCAATTGTTATTATTATTATTATTATTGCCGTTTTCAATCATCATTCACCATTTTTATTAGAGAAAATTTTCCCATTGTGAAAGGTTAAAGGATTAACTTAAAAGGTTAAATTTTTAGCGTAATTTTCTTGTATTAAATCGTAACATTTACTGTTTTGAGAACCAAAAGTTTTTTAAGCATATGACAAATAAAACACTATCATATATTACTCCTAATAAATTTTCATGTATGATTGGATGTGCCTATAAAAAAAAAAGAACATGACATATGTAATTCTTCACAAAAATATTATTCAAGTTTATAATGACAATCGGTTACGATGCAATGACTGATATTAACAGTAAAAATGACAGTCATATATTGATGTGTCCTTTAATATTTTTCATATAATTATTCATGATAAGTGTACATGACAGTCGTTTATTGCTATATGTTTAAAAATGACTTCTGGTTTTCAAAGTAGTAACTATTTCGACTCAATATAAGATAATTATGTTAGGCTTTCAGCTGATTACGATTGACACATGAGCCCATTACGATAGCACATAAGGGATTTGTCTTCATTTTTAAATTGGGAGACTATAGACAACTCTATTTTTTTTTTGGTTTATTTGATTTATTATATGTTTGGTTTCTTTGGCTTTTTTTTTTTTTTACCATCTTCTGTGTTATAATGACTACACAAGATTGGTGGACTAATATGTAGCACTTGTATAATTTGAATATAGGATTTTATCATTGAAGTTTTCATCTCTTTTCTTTATTGCACCACAAAATTTCCCTTTAGCTAATTATTAAAATTAATACAGTATTATACATTTTTTCCCCTTTTGATTTGGTTTACATGCAAAAGAGAAAACAAGCTATCTGCTCATCCACGAATCTACCTCAATCATTGTAACACCCGCCTTATACGACTCTAAGTTAATTATTTTCTCGATTTTTAGTAAGCAACATGACTTAGGTATTAAAATATAGGTAAATTTATACTTTTTTTTTTGAAGTCACCTCAAGAGTAATATCATTTTTAACATGTCTTATCGGGTTCACTTGGCTGGCAAAATATATACAATATAATACATATATCAAAATAGGCACATCCAAGTAATAACACAACCACACTACTTCTCAAAAACTATACATATATCAAAGGCCTCCAAATACATGTCAGCTAGTCCATATATATCAGTCTCGGTTCTCAGGAGTGCGCCAGCCAACCGTATAACCCTCAGCTAATGCTGGGAAGTGCCCTCATCTACATCACCATAAAATAAAGGAGCTATTATGTAGTAAGTAGAACAATGCATAACAATATAATAATAGTAATATGCATGAGTTCATGTCTTGAAATCTTCATTTAATGTTATTCAATTCAGTTTCCTTCACACTTTTATCATGTGTGCATTTTTAGGGTTTCGTAGATAGGTGGTGTCTCAGACACCTCATCGGACCTTGTAACCACAAAGAAAATATATATATATATATATATATACCAAATGCAGTTGTGTGGGGCAATTCACAATATCAGTCTTCTCTTCTTCCTTGTGATCATCAAGGAAACGTCTCACATCGCAAGTCTCCATCGAGACAGTCTCCTTCGAGACATGTAGGTCCGGATATCTCCATTGAGACATATTTGTTATTTCATTTCATTAGGCCCATCACTTATAACCGTAAGGACATTTAAGTTATCTTCATACTCACCCACTTTTCATTAATGTCTTGGATATATATTTTTCATCATATCGTGCATGTATGCTTATGTCACGGTTGTATGCAATTCATATATTCAATTATGACATTCATTGAAGCAATTATCATATGCACAACTTTTATGGTGATACAGATGAAATTCTACTTACCTTACACTTTAACACTGAAACAGTCTTTTAGGTACTGCTCTCAGGGGATCCGACACTTCGTATCACTGAAATATTGATCATCATTTTTTTAATTACTAATAATAATATTATAAATTTAAATTATTGAGTAATAATAATTATTTGATAAAATATACAATTGAAATATACCTTAATAACATAACAATGCATCTCAATAGCATGCCAAACTTATAAATCATGTATATTATGGTATGAATGGATGCAATACATTGACCAAATAGTATGTGAGAATTTTGAGGGCGCATGCAATATTAATTAAGATTATTGAATTCAGAATCAAGTGATTTTATAAACTCAATAAACTAGCACCTTTATAATTGCACCAATATTATGAAGAGTTTTACAGTATACGCAATCAAAATATTTTATTGGTAATATACATAATCATATAAACCGTCAAATTATATAAAAATCAAAATCAGATTAGTAAAAATCTGAAAAATACACGTTGGATATATAATAATTTAGGACTATGCTCACGAAATTCTCCAAACATTATCTGAAACATGACTATTGGTACATTTTAGTGTGCGTGGGTGGCAGTTTCTGTAACGATACATATATAACAATATAATGCGTTCAAAACTGTTTGATCTCTAATTATATAATGTATTTAATGTAGTCTGTGGGACATGGGGGCTCTGGTTTTGGAAGATAAAAAGCATAATTCATTATTTGTGTTATCCAATTTCCATAGAAGAAAGAACCATTTCAATAACGGTCAATTCATTCGTCCAAATCAAAATGATGAATAAACTATCTGCCCAAACAAAGCCCAAGCAAGTGTCCCCGTAGGCATGAACGTTAACTAACGTTTGAACGTTAACTAACGT